AAACTTTTGTTTATAAATCATTGTTTGTAATAACTCTTTGTAATAATCGTTATTGTAAATTGTACTGTTGTGTGTATATTACACAATTAACGATTAAAGTAACTTCAATATCCCATCCAAACATCAGCTACTTTTAAACTTGAAGAAATGCTAAGCCACCTTCATAAAGGATGAACACAAGAAAAATAAACCACCTACTATTAGCATGAAGAGCAGAAAGGGCTAGCATGTCGTTTCTTACAGCAACTGTTCCATCATTTTGAGATTCATCTGTATCCTCTGAACCTAAAACTCGCACTCTTCCAGTAACCAGAGAAACATCAAAGTCCTTCCTCTCCACTGGAACAATATCAGCATAAGCTGAAGAACCTAAAAAGGAAAACAGTAATTATTATCAGTCTTGCAGACTATAAGTATAAAAGTGACTGAAAAAAAATAAAAAGACCAAATTAACAAATTATTGCCTAAGACACTGCCATTTCAACATTTATCTCATTTCCTAATACTTTAAGTCTGAGTTTCGATCTTTTGTAAATCTATATAAATATAATAGTACTGTCTGTTATATGTCCATGTAACTACTTTGCAGGGTGAGGATGGATTGGATCCATGGGGAGATACATACAAATTTTCAGTTTTGCATTTTGCAGTTTTTATGGTCCTTTTTTACCACTACTTTGTCCCCTGTTGATAGATCTTCACCAAGTTTGGCATGAAGGTTTATTGGATCCATGCAGAGATTCATGCAAATTAATGGTTTCAGATTTTGTTTTGCAGTTTTTATGGACATTTTTTTACAATTACATATAAGGGAAGCAACTTTTCATGTCCTAAGATAACCTTTCACTAATCATGAATTTACATAACTTCCATCCAGGGGACAGGTACTCCAGCTAGTTTTATATAAATGACAAATTGTATTCTAGTCATAATTTCCATTATAATTTCTAACCTTATAAAATGAAACATTTCAGTAGTAAGAGTTACCTATTTTTCTGAAAACAAGCACACTTACACAAACATTTCATAATGGTTTTTTTTACATGCCCAGCATGAACATTTTAATCTTTATTTTTCATTTCTCTTGGAAAAACCAAAATACTAAACTATTATGAACGTACCTGGAAGAAGCTCTCTGAAATCAGATATATAATCTCCAGTCCATTCACGTGCTTTATTACAGCCCAACTCAACTTCAAATGGAGTCACTATGGGTTTGTAGTACTCCTTTGAGTCTATTAAAGAGTTTTCACCACAAGCTACAAGAACAAAAACATCTATTTCTGGAAAATTTGCTATTTTTGCTGGATTGATTTTCCCCATGATTAGTGTGTATGACTTTTTTCCAGCTAATTTAATAATTGTTTTTAGTCTGTCAATGATATCTCGATAATTTGACACTGCCAAAGTACCTACAAGTATTCCAATAATTCTAGCATCTTTAACACATTCAATTAGGTAGTACGATCTCTTCAGCAATCTTGAGCCTTCTATATTGAACCATCTGGAGTTCTTCCTTATTGGGTCATAAACACAGAATCGACACTTGGAGAAGTTCACCAGAAAGTTTTTCAATGAGAGAGTTTCGAGCCCAATGTAAAATATACAGTAGTCATCTATAACCTGATCACTGGGTAAATTAATTAGCCTTCCACATCTTCTGATAACTGATGCTGAACAGATATTGTTCATTATTTGCTCAGAATTACCATGTTGACTTAGTAGTGACAAGGTTATATCCAGTTTGCCGATTAGAAGGTTCGGATAACTTTTTTGAAGTTCCTCATAGACTTGAGCTGCAACAAATTAAAAGTACATCACATGATTCCAGAGACAGAGAGTGGATGTATAGAATTACTTATACAAATACACAAACTATGAACAAATTATACAATGTTGTATATCTACCTACTTTTTCAATAAACTGAAGACTGAGAGTCTTATGATTAATCTATGAACAACATCTGAAAAACTGTAATTATAGTGAACATGGTTAAATAAAATTGTTCCATAAAGCTTTAGTTTCAAAAACTCAATCCAGAAATTTAAATTGTTTCTTGCATATATTGCACATGTTGTGGAATAGGTTTAACCCACTAAGTATAATCTTTCAGTCATTGCATGGCTGTGGTGTATGTTCAGAACTCTACGTATCTATCCTCATACATGAGTAGTCTATGCAGGTCACTTAACTACTATAAATTACTATAAATACACAGCGCTGCCTTTAAATTTTATAAACCTCGTGCATTCAAATATAAAATACTACAACCAAACAAAATGTTTCCTACACAACGCACAAGTTTTCCCCTTAATATATAACAATTACCATAAAATGCCTATGCGTATATGTGACAACTATAAATTTATAAACCATATCAAATATTAAAATTGACACATTGTAATATTTTTTTTACTCTTACTATGCTTACAATTATAGTACTTTTTTTACAACTTGAGACAACAAAATAGTGTATCCAAACCAATTTCCATCTTAATTACCACTTAATTTGACATTTCCTTTTCACAAATTTATACTTAGGAAGTTACTAAATTAGCAAAAGAAAAATTAACAAATTATATACTGGAAGATTTGACAAGCATAACTTACGAGCAGAATGAGAGTAGACAACATCATAAAGCAATACCACATGAGATTCGTTATCATGAAATGTCTTTTTGAACTCTTCAACAGCATGAAAAGAATCTAATGGCTGTTTCCCAAAGACGTACAAGACTGGAAGACGAGACGTCGAGCTCAGACAAGAACGACCAAAGTGGATGATAGCATCGGCTGATACATGTTCTGCTGCAATTTCATCCACACAACAGCTTAGGATGGAATAAGAAATGTCTTTATCAATAACAAGCATAAAGTATTATAAATATAAAACTGTACTATATATATTTTATGTGATCAGAAGAATATTAGAAATGTTAAATTATGCTTTTAGGTTCTAACATGTCTAATCCATAAATAGCTAAATTCCATTATCTTTCTATTACAAAGTAAATTTGAAAATAAAAATTATTTTCATGGTTATTCAAATTTGAAACATACTATTAGTTGTCTTTCACTAGAATACATTATTTAAAAAATATTTAAAGCGACATTCCTGACTTCATTTTTATGCAAAACAAATCAGGTATGCAATTATTTGATAAGCAAATATTTATTATTAGTTCATTTGATACTGCAAACTTTGTAGCCCAAGACATTATCAGAAAGTGTTTGTTAATAAGGTATATGATTACTTTGAACACTCAGGTGGGCCATACATCAATGTGGCATGTTTAAAATGAGTGAATCAACGCGTGATGGGGTAATGTGGTCCACACCTCCATTAGATCTGCTTGGAGGGGAATCACATGCTACAAGTTTCTATTATGAACTGTTGATTCAGTTGGGAAGTTGAGGTTGGTTGGTTATGTTGAGCTCTAACGTCAAATAGTAGTCATCTTTTGAGGTTGCTGACGGTGATCTACCCTGTCCAGGTGATCTTAAAACAAGTCCATATCCTGTAACCATATTTAAGAGACTTGTTGCCACCCTGCAAAAACAGGTTTAAACAGCCAGATCATGAACTGTTCAAATCTCTTCACTGGGGTTCTGATATATCTCATTGTCACTACGGATTTATTTACACATGCTATTGTCTTTTAATATATTAAGTTATAACATGTTTCCCTCACTTTCATACACTAGTGAAATGTGTTTGTGCCTATCAGATTATGAAATTTATTTTTGTATCAAAGTTAACTACAGAGGTGCCACTAATATTATTTAATAACTGTAGTTGTACCTTGCCATAGCTGAAATAAATAAAATTCCAATTATGACTTAACTGTTCAAAGTAGTGTCATTCTGCACTAGTAAAAACAAACTATTAAGTGACCTTGCGATCTACTAATTAAACAATCAATTCAAAAACATGATTTTTAATCATGGTATCAAAAAATAGCTTTGAAGAAAAAAACTAAGTTTGTGTTTGTTTTTGTGGCAAAGCCACATTGGGCTATCTGCGGTGCCATTGCAAGGAATTGAACCCCAGATTTTAGTGGTGCAAGTACATGCTATCCCACCGAGGGACACTAAGTTTATGAGGAATTTACATGTGCCAATTATCCCATAACTTCACTCTGTAACAATTCAGAATTGAATAAGTAATCTGGTCCTAGTTACCTGCCATATGAAGTATCAGCCAAAACAAATACTTGACAGTTAACTTCCTTTTGGATGGCCATACACACAGCAGTACAGTTGATTAGCATCTCATCAGGAAACTGAAGAGCAATCTGAAGTTCAATAAGACAGAAACAAACAAATATTAGTATTCAACTAATTTCTCAGCATCTTTTTCTTTATGTATTAGGTTGTCAAGAAATTAATGTCACTTTTTTTAGATGAAAAAACCCAAACAACTTATATACCAAAACAAAACATTTATTAATTGAAATAGTCTCCATTCTTATCGATGATGCTTTTCCATCTTACAGGTTGTTAATGCCCTGATTATAATCAGAAATCACTTGGCTTTGAAGCAAAAAACATATCAATGTCCTCTTTAACACCTTCCACATTTGCATACGTTTTCCCATTAAGATGGTGTTGCAGCAAACGACAAAGATGGTAAACTGATGGTGCCATATCTGGAGAATATAGTGAGTGGAGGAGAACTTCCCAACCCAACTCCATAATTTTGTGTTGCATCAAACGTGCCAAATGTGGACGTGCATTGTCGTGAAGAATAACACCTATCCGATTGACGAGTGAAGGGCGTTTCTCATGAAGGGCTTGATTTCAACATTCCAGTTGCTGACTGTAGATCTCTGCATTGACAGTTCACTGTGGATTGAGGAGTTCAAAATGAATTACTCTTTTGATGCCCCACCAAATGAAAGCATCACTTTCTGAAGATGGAGTCCAGGTTTGGGGTCTGAAGTGGTTTTTGTCTAGGACTGAGCCATTATTTTTGGCATTTAATATTCACATAGAGAATCCATTTTTTCATCACCGATGACAATTCTGTCCAAAAATGGTTCACACACATTACATGCTAGAAGAGACGAAGCAATGTTCACACATTGAAAATGATGATTATTGGAGAGTTTGTGAGGCACCCAAACACCTTCTTTATAGAGTTTTCCCATATTCCTTAGATGTTTACGTATTGTTTCATGAGAGTCATGCAATTTCAGGGCCATTTCACAAGTGTGTTGCCTTGGGTTAGACTCAACAAGCATCTTCAGAGCATCAATATCAATTCCAACATGTTGCCCCTACCATCACAGTTTTTAAGCCTAAAGTCACCTGAACGAAATTTGCTGAACCATCGTTGACACTTACGAACGTTCAAAACATTACCATAAACTTCTTTGATATTCTTTGTGGCTACAGAGGCATTGTTTCCCTTCTTGTAATCAAACAGCATTACATGCCGGATATGTGTCTTGTCATGTGCCATCATTATGAGACATTAGAGTATACTAAACTTTACACATTATATAGACTACACTAACGTGACATTTAGGCAGTTCATTTAACTATTATAGATGATGTACGTTTTTTTTGGAGGGGGGGTTATTGAAAGTGCTCCAAAATGCAACATTAATTTCTGGATGCCCTCTATATATAAACACACACTTAACACTTAACTGATGCAGCTGATTACCTGTAAGCAGTGACTATATCAGATAGTGTCATGTAAACTAACTGATTAATCTAAATTATGATTAAACTTATTATTCAAAATCAGTCTTTCCGAGTATTCCAACAATCCAAATAATCAACATAACGCAACCAAACTTATTCAGTGCAACATCTGCTTGTTGTGGTAAAGCTACCAAATCTATCTGCCACTGTCACAACTTTTAAACTACCAGCTAGAGGGAAGACAACTGGATGCTAGCACCCATCACAAATAGTTTGTACTAATTGATTAATGGAACTGTTGATTAATTGATTAGTAAATACCACTAATCACCCAGTGCTAATACATATAAAATGTTATATCACTCACTATTTGACTGGTATTTAATTAAATTATATTATGTAGATAAGAGCCAGTCACACAGGACATTTTGAACTTGAGCATCTGATGTTGCTTCACTAATAACAAATTTAATGTTTTTATAGTTTAGAACATATGAAGCTCCATGATGAAAACCTTCTGGAAGGTATGTAACAGATACTAAGCCTAAAACTATAAATCATATATGCATATATTGTAAATATGATTAATTTGTTACTTGTATATGTAAATATAGTTTTGTGATATATATGCAAATTATTTTATACACATATTATAGTGCAGATACTTTACTTTCGAGTGCTACTAATAAAAAAGTTTATTTTTCAAGTTAAAAAACTAATATCATATATACTCACTTTGGTATATCCATTTTCTTTAATCCAATGAACACACTTCTTTAACTCGTACTCTTCTTCTAGATCCTCGGATGACAGTTTCATGCACTCATTCTTGGACAGATTTACTGACCGTCCAATCACTTCAGAATCACTGCTACTAAATACTAACGACATTCTTCTTCCTAGATGATGAACTATCAGCTTTTTATATTTTCTGTGTTACAAATACTTGAAAACTGCATTAAAAATATATATTGACCATTGTTAAAAGATTTTTCTTCAAATGAGTGATAGATTCACATTTACTTAAATAAAACTGATCATTAATTTGTTATGCATTTAGTCTTTTCTTTTTTCAATAAGAATCAGCATATAAACATTCTACCTAATAAAAACACTCACCCAGATCTGCAGCGATGTAACTAATCCATTAGTTCTTTGGGTTAATATTATAATAGCTCATTCTAGAAAAAGTAAAAAAAGGATCAATGTTAGATAAAAACACCAATAACCGTTCACAATTCACTGATTGCAAAGCTGTTTAGTGATGAAAAAAGTATTTTTAATTTAAACTTAAGTACAGGTGAGGGAACAAAAGTTCTTCCATAATATCAAGGTTAGAGGTGGGAAATTAACTCATTGATTATATCAGTAATTGTGACATAAAATAACAAACTAATCAAAATCACTGTTTCCAATTACTATTGTTTTTAAACATTCCAACTATCCAAGTAATCAAAATATTGCCATTATGATTTCTCATTATTTTGATTAATTCAAGGTTGTTCAGCTTCACTGATTAGTGTTAAGACTCATGAAAGTAATCAACTAATCAAAATTAGCATTTCTAATTATTTCCACTATTCAAGTCTCACGAGAGAATAATTAAATGTAATCAATTAATGAGTCCAACCATTAACTGATAAGCACATTCTACTAATCACCAAACTTTATTCAAAGTTACCCCTTACATACACAAGACAGCCAAATGTAACTCTTCATAATCATATATCTATCAAACATGTACTTAAAGTAATTTAAATAGCACACAACACATATGATGCAACTATTTCTTAAGTCTTATAACTCTTAATTAGAAAATAATAGCCTTCAAAAATTTAACTTTCATTTCTAAAACATGCTGAGCAAAGTGTTGAGGTAGGAGGCTAACTGCTATTTTTCAAAACTCCAATGATCTTGTGTAACTTTTATTAATAATATACCTGGACAAGAACACTTAAATACTACTGAAACCAACTGTAGAACTAATGATTAATGTCCAAAATTTCACAAAAGTTGACTCTCCATATATTTCAAGAGAAACATTGGGTGGCTAATGGCTAACCTAATACAGAAAATGTCAATGAGATTTAAGATATTTTTGTTAGTTCAGTCAAGCAAGTTGAAAAGTAAATTTTGTATACCAAACAAAAGCCTTTTCCTAAAACAATGATAGAGAAAATTAGTAATTAGTAAATAAAAACTTCCCAGCTTATAAGAACATAAAATTAACTAATTAAATGGAGGAAGCAGAAACGTATCTAAAACAAAAAGAAGTTAAAATATTTATAAGCAAGGCAAAGACAAGAAATAAAATTTTCTTGACTTGCAAAACTTCTTCAAAAGAAAGCTTTTAGCCTGCTTTACATATTAGGCTATTATTATACCAACTTCACAGCTTAGCATAAGCAGTAATTTATCTCAGATTTTCTGCTCCTCTAAAGGTGTATTGTTTGAGTTGTTTAATGGGTTTTTGTTAGTAAAAAAATGTTTTTAGGAAGGACAAACATCAAATCAACAACATTACTTGAAGCCAACAGCTAGTATTTGTATGTTCCATAAGGTATACTCTGTTATTTCTTCTTTATTACTTTCATTAACAGTAATGATTAGAATATTTAATGTATCTAATTTTATTGCTTTTTTTTATTATAATGATTGTTTTGCATTGTTAGTTTAATAATATATTTAGGACTAACCTACATCTCCTAAGCTGGTCAAACCTCTTGAGACATTATTGATATTAATCCAAAAGTATCGTTAACAGCAAGGTTACCCAATTGATGAAATGAAAATGTAAGAAAGGTATATTTACTTATATTCTGTACCAGGTTGATTTTTAGTTCTGTTCTAAGCAGGTAGTTTACTCTAATCCAAAGTTAATATTCTAAAAATTTTAGGATGATATGTTCCACAGGAAAATTTTTAAAAAAGCTCAAAGGGCTAACCGTTATCATTTAAATATTTATCAAACTTTCCCTTCTCTTAAATTTACTACATCCAACACATCTAAAGGTGGCCCTTTCTAAGGGCTCAAGAGCTAACAGCCTTTAAAAAAGTAAAATTGTCTTGGCTGAAGATGACTGCCACCCTGCTAAAATTTATATATGTCTTTTTGTCCTACCATTCTCACAATTAAATATACAAAAAGCATCTGAAATTTTCATTTGCTATTTTGCTGGCTGAAAAACTGTGTAGTACATTAAAAGCAGATTTAACCACTGAAAAAGAAAACACAGCAATAAAATTATTTATTTCTTCTGTTACCTTTTTTAGAAGTTTCACTTTGCATTACATTCAAATATTGTAAGTGTAATTCATTTATTATTATACTTTATATGTAACTTGACACCATACAGAGGTATGCCACACATTTTTGAACAAAACTGTCAAATATTCAGTATTTCATTACATGAACCTTTGAAGTATACACACCAGTCTAATTATCAGACCACTTTTAGTCCTAACGAAATTTACCCTAAAATATAAAATCTAGGAGACTAGTGTAATATGGGGCTCTAAACACTATTTTTGAAATCTCTTTTTTTTTGTCAATAACATGTTAGAATTATTACTAAGAGTAACATAGAAAAGCATTTGGAAAACTGGCATTTCTTAGCATAGCTTTACAATAGAATAGGGTTTCTTGTTTTATCAGCTGTTACTTTTTTTATGGTTTCCACTATTTTGAAGAACACTCTGGCTGTTAATGTCTACATTAATTTTTAAAAAAGTCTTTGATAAAGTGCCTCATAAGAAGTCACTTGTTCACAAGGTTAATAATTTGGACAGTTTCTTGAACAATGTTATTTCCACATGCATTGACGAAACTATGGTGATGTAAGCTACAGCTGCTATTGAGAATGCTTCCCATACTAAATATCAACTTGACAGTCTCAGTGATTATGTCAGAATGCTAAAAACTACTTTTAATATTTAGAAGTATAACTTGGTCCTTGGCTTATGTTAGAGGCTCATGTTCTGGAAAAAATACTTAAATAACTTTAAATAAAAAATTAAACAGTGAAAAACCACTTGCACTTTCAGTTATGAATTATCTTTTCCTTTAGATACAATTATTAAAAGTTTTAATTTTCATTCAATTATATGCACAAAGGTCTAATAATTGTTAATGAGACTTGTTCTAATAGCAAACACTTTATTGACAAAAGTCAGATAAGTAAATCGAGTTTTAAAAGCTTCTCACCCTAAATATTTGCAGTGTTGAGACTTACAATGTCAATTTAACATTAATATATATATATATATATAATATAATACAGGCCTTTGGGTTTAGAATTAGATTCACTCACTCAGTTAGAATAATTTGTTAATGTAATATTAGGTAGATCTATAGATTTTAGGGTCCTCATGACATTAGTTACTTGGGTTTGTTTTAAGATATAACTTAATACATTATTATTCCTCTTATAGTTGAAGTTATACTACTTATCAGAAATATTTCTTGTTTTCTTTTCTAACTTAACAGTAATATTAACGACAGATTCATTACACGTGTACACTTACGCCTAACAATACAACTTACGTTTAAACAATAAAAACGGTATTTTCAATGAAACAAACAACCCTCATTATCACGAGCGTGAAAGGTGACGGCATCACTCAACTTGATGGGGTTAACCAATCATAAGAAAACGAATTATTCTTTCTGGCATTATTGAGCATGCGTTTTGCTATTCTTCGTGCTCACGATGAAAGAAAATAAATCAGCGATATTAATACGGTATTTATATGCCACGGTAACATTACAGCCACTTTTCGTTGAAAGATTTTCACAAGCTGTAATAAAACCTTTTAAATTAGCATTTTTACGCCAATTCTGTCCTGCTAAAGCCAGCAAGTAACATTTTGTCACTTTCGTTCTCAGTATCTATATAAATATAATAGAACTGTCTGTTGTATGTCCCTGTAACTATTTCGCAGGGTGTGAATGAATCTTCACCAAAATTTGTATGGAGGTTCAATAGGTCCATGCGGGGATAAATACAACTTTTCAGTGTTGCGTTTGTCGGTTTTTACCACTATTCGCCCCCTGTTGATAGATCTTCACCAAATTTGGTGTGGGGGGTCATTGGGTCCATGGGGGAGATACATACAAATGTTTAGTTTTGCGGTTTTTATGGGAGTTTTTGCGTTTTTTTATAATTACGTATAAGAGAAGCAACTTTTCATGTCCTAAGATAACCTTTTATTAATCATGAATTTACAGGACTTCCGTCAAGTGGCACAGCGGACTTACAACGCTAGAAACCGGGTTTCGATACCCGTGGTGGGCA